GACAGCAGACACACTGCAAACAGAATAACACAAGAGTTAACTAATCCTAGTAGGAAGGTTTTGGAACAGGTGGGAAGTATTATTCACAAAAACAGATATACTGTTAAACTTTCACTTAATACTCATTAGGACTATTGACAAATTATTTTCTTTTTCTGAGTGGTCACAAAATAATAACCCTGGGTGGTGTTTAAACAAGTAGAGATGTTCTTAACCATCCCCAGGGTGGGATTCTTTTAATAAAATACTGTACAGTTTGAGTACTGTCTGTATCCTCACATTCTTCTCTTTATTAGTAATTAAGTAATGTGGTATTATGTGTCTAAAGACTTAGGGTACATCTAGATTGATAAAAAAAAAATGGCCTCACCTTGCATTTTTCAGTGCCCCTGCAATCAGCCAGTGTAATGTAATGGTTTAAATGTTAGACTATAACTCTGGAGACTGTGGTTCGATTCCCACCTTGGCCATGAAACCCACTGGGTGCCCTTGGGGAAGTCACATACTCTCAGCCTCGAAGGAAGGCAATTTCAAACTTCCTTTGAACAAATCTTGACAAAAAACAAAACAAAACACAAAGCCACAGAATAGATTTGCCTTAGGGTCATAATAAGTCAGAAACAATTTGAAGTCACACAAGTGTCCCTGTGTAACAAACCATTTAAGGCTACACACTCATAGACACAGTGAGGAAAAAAGGCATAACTGGCCACATATTTTTCCCTGGCAAACTTATTTTTCCCTTTTCCTGCATGCATCAACCTATCAGCCAATAGTCATCCTGTCAATCCTGTAAAGGCCTGGATTTGACTCTATAAATAGTCTCATATATCATCTAAATTCTTTTCTAAGAAAACAAGCTCAGACCATTTTATAGCTCATAGACAATTTGTTAGGTAGGTAAACCCATTGAATAATTTGTTGTTGTTGTTTTTCTGACTTGAGAGAAGAATAAAGTCTCTAAACAGATGTTAGACAGGCAGTAGTCCTTATTTGGATATATCTACTTGGCAGGGAATTGTACATGGCTGGTGTGCTGCCTTCTAGCACTAAGATTTAATTACATGTTCCTTAGGATACTATATCTGAGAAGGATGTTCCTTCAAGTACTGAGGTCCCAACCCAGATAGGTTGTAAGGACTTGTAAGGAAATACAAACTTTGTTGCTGAGCACTGTTGCCTCCTTGATGTGATATGTTCTTTGTACAGGGATGAAATCCCTGTAAGTTATTCCAACTTCTAAGAAAAATGAAAAACTATATTTGTGGATCTTGTCATACAACATAATACATTCCATCCAGGAATCAATCTTCTCATTGCTAATTGGGAAGAAGAGAAGAGAGGTCAATTCGGCTGAGCTGGGAATTGAATCCTGTTTCCAGAGCCACAGTCTAGTGCTTAGACCATTACACCATGCATTACACCATTCTCTCCTGCATTTAAGGCATCAGTGGTTTTAAAGTAAGGATTTACACTTTGAGCTGTGTTCAAAAATGAAACAAAAATGAGTAAACCCCAGAAAAATCATCTGGTCCCATCCAACAGGCTGGTAACTGTTCTTTGCATGAACTGAAAATTCTGAAACTTTTAATCATTAAGAAGCCAATACCCTACAGCTAAGGCCTCCTCTTGCACAAGGGGAGGCACTCCTCCAACCTGGTAGCTCCATGAAAATAAAAATTTAAAAACTCAGACCCAGATGTAAGGTAGACCAGAGATGGAAGGCCACATACTTCCCACCTGGGTTGCAGAGCCTTTGAAATCAATCAAAAAAGGTAATTACATTACTATGCAGAATCCTTTCAGTCAATAATGATAAGAGTATGTATAGGGTGTTACAGCTGCTAGATAGGAGGATAAACAGTTGAGCAGATGGGGAACGGGGGGGGGGGGTTATTAGGAAAAGAGACAGTGTAAATAGAATTTGTGATCATGAGAAAGCACATACATGGGGCAATATCAAAGGAAACTCATTTCTTTGGGATAAACCAACCTTTTCTGACATATAAGATTTTACTAGGCATGCTATTCAGGGGTGCAAACTCAAAATCAATGAAATATTGTACATAGAAAGGTTCATTTCACATTCTTATTGTTTTTGCTGTTGTTGTTTTATTCATTTATATCCCATCTTCTTCACAATCATAGGATTCAAGGTGGTTAACACTATATTTAAAACAATATAAATTAAAAACAGTGCAAAAGTGTTACAAAAATTATTATTATTATTATTATTATTATTGCATTAAAATATGATACAAATACAAAAATACAATTGATAAATTATTAATGGTATTAATAATTCAATAAAATAGGCAAGCCTCTAATGGGAGGGCATTACCCAATTTAGGGCAAAGCAAAGAGATTTTCATAAAGAGGCCTCTCATCACAACCTTGGCTGTATCCCAAATTGTACTCATTTCCATATCTTCTGTCCTATTTTCTACAAAAAAAATTAGTCAAATGTGACCAAAGCAGATAAAGCCCTCTTCTATGTGGTGTATGCCTCTTGAGGGTGGAAGATAGAGGAAAATTCTGAGTTAACTTCCTATTGCTTTCCTGCAGAGTGAGTGGCCTCAGAGTGAAATTTTCTCCTAAATGAGCCTACCTGTGCTGTGAGATTTTGGGAATTTTTCACTTTATCCCATCACCCTCACAAGTATGGTTCATGGGAGCAAAGCAGTCGTCTCCTTGGTGTTTGTGTCCAGGCTGGGGGATTCCCTTCCATGAAAGGCTAGTCTGGATGAGACTACTGTCCAGCAGATTTATTCAAATTTTCTTTGGGCATTTAACAGGCAACTGAAAGAGGTGCTTTTAAGCAACTGGTGCTATAATAATTTACTGGTTCATTGTTGACTTGCTTTTAATGGGATAGATTATATTATATTATATTATATTATATTATATTATATTATATTATATTATATGTTGTGTTGTCGTTTCCAATTTATGACAACTCTAAGGTGATCCCCTATCATGAGGTATGCTTGGCATGATTTGTTACATTAATTTGTGCTTTATTAAATTGTTGAAATCACTTTAAAAGCAACTATTAAAATATTCATTTTAAAAACTGCAACAATTTGGAACCACTTGTCTTTCTACTTTAAAATAAATGCATCCCTGAAAGCTTCAATAAAAAGCCACATTTTGGCTTGGTACCAGAAAGAAACCAATAAACAGTGAATAATGATGGATGTGGTTAAGAAGTGAGGTATGGTAGAAATTTCCTTCTACAACTCCAACTATGGTTCAACTACCATAGCTAAATCCCAAGTGATTGGTAACAAATCTAATCTCTGTGGTGAAGATTGCCCTGTCTCTGCAGAAAACTTCCTTATTGTTCAAGAGGTCTCCCATTTCTGTTTGCATGATTTAAATGTAGATGTAGGCTTAACTTTCTGAAAGCAAGGGCATCCCTGAAAAACAGGCTGTCACCTGGACTAAATGAGGGGGGAGGGACACAAGATACGTGTATGTTACCTGCAGAAAGTAAGATAATCCCTGAATAGACAGCAATGAAAAGTCAGCCCATCTGTATTTTTGAATCTTGACTGGGATTTGAGTTCCAAAGCAAGAGAAGAATGTTGAATGCTCATGTATTTATATATCCCTGTGATATGTTAACATGTCAGCTGACAAATGGTTCTTATTCCATGTGCTGACAACTATACCATGTAGTGTATATAACAGAGGAAATGCTGTACACTACATTAGCCTCCTGATATCTTTTGGGTTCACTGGATTGGGGTGATAGTTTTAAGTTGTTAAATAAAAGCTTGAAAAAATATGAACAAGATTAGGGAGACTCCTCAAGTTCTAGTAAGTAACAGAAGCAAGGGAAAAGGAATACTTTTTGCACCACATCATTAAAAAACAACCATACAACAGAAACAAGTAACTGGAGAAAATCTATAGAAAAGAAAATAATGGTGAGCCAAAACAAAAAATAAACCAAATATTTCCCTTCTCCTGCTTTGATTTTAATTTCTTGCAGACATATCAACTCACAATTTAGTTTCATCAAGTACTGAAAGGTTCTCTTTCTTTTTGAAAGAAATATCTTCGGTTGGGGAAAGAATTTATGCCCTTATCTAATAGACGAAAACAAGGTGTGGTACTCTATATTAAAGAAAAATATAGACCAGTGGAAGTCCTCAAGGATCCTAAAGGCAGATACATTGGTGTAGAGATTATGTGGAATAACATTTTAATTACTGTAATCGGAATGTATGCCCCCAACGAAAATAAAGGGAAATTTTATAAAAACCTGTCTATTAAACTTAAAGACTTAGGTAGTGAATCCTTGATTCTAATGGGAGATTTCAATGGGGTCTTAGATCCGCAGTTAGATCGTTGGTCTGGAAAACCAATCAAACAAAATCAAGGGAAACTACCCAGACATTTTTTTTGACATCATGAATCAATTAGAGCTGTGTGATGTCTGGAGAATTACATATGCAGATAAGAAAGATTTTACATACTTTTCAGACTGTCACAGTTCATGGGCCCACATAGACATGTTTTTAGTGACCAAGAATATTTGCACCAAGATTAGGAAAATGGAGACTCTTCCAAAAATATTATCAGATCACCATCCAATTATGATTGATTTGAGATTAGGACAGAAAGAATTTTCGTGGAGACTAAATTAGGCTTTATTAAAAAAAATGAAAAAAATGTGGCCGAATTTTGGTCACATTTGACTATTTTTTATTTTTATTTTTATTTTTATTTTTATTTTATTTTATTTTATATTTTTTTGTAGAAAATAGGACAGAAGATATGGAAATGAGTACAATTTGGGATACAGCCAAGGTTGTGATGAGTGACCTCTTTATGAAAAAAGATGTGAAGTAAAAAGAGGAAAAGATGCAAAATTTAGAGAACTACATGATCTATTAAAAGCTAAAGAGCTACTGCTAAAAAGAAGCCCTCTCAATAAAGACTTAAAGATAGAGATTAAAGGATTAGAAATGTGGTTGAACTCACTATTAGTAGAAGATGTAAATAAGAACATGAAATTCCTTAAACAAAAAATGTTTGAAGGTTTGAACAAACCTGGCAGATTGTTATCTAACTATTTACAACATAAGAAGGCTAATAGAATAATATACAAATTAAAAATCCAGGATAAAGAAGTTACTGATCAAGACAAATTGAACCAGGTAGTCTGGAAGTTCTATAGTTAGCTTTATAAAAAAGTAGAAGTAGATAGACAAAAAATGGAGAAGTTTATTGATAGTTGTAATATTCCGCAAATCTCAGAAGAACAGAGAAAGGAGCTTAATAAAAATATATCACTTCAAGAAGTAATAGAGTCTATCAAAAATGTAAAAAGGGTAAAGCTGTTGGCCCTGATGGATTCTCTGTGGAATATTATAAGATCTTCTTAGAGCAGTGGTTCTTAACCTGGGTTTGATCGAACACCAAGGGTTCGGTGAGTCAGTCTCGTGGGTTCGGTGGAAG